GAGACAGATACAAAAGGGGCATTAGTAAAAAAAAGAAAAAAAGAAAAAGAAAAGGAAAACGCCAAGAAAAGAAAAGAAATAATTGGCGACAAAGACTCGTCATTTTATAGTTGAATTGGCTAGAGCTATCAGTAAGTTCTATGCTTACATTTTCCTCTCTTGCACCTCTTGTAGAATTCTCTTCCGGCTACATGCCATCCAGTCACGTTTGATTTTAAAACTTTAAATGCAATGTCAATCGTTATCTACTGTCTCTTTTTGTTTTATAGCCTCGTCGTTATGTGGAACCCCTGGGTGACGGGATCAATACCATAATAATAAAATTGTATTCTTCTTTCATATCCTGTGATCCCTAGTTGTTTTGTTCAGAGGTAACACAACACAGGGAATTTTAACTTAAATTTTATTGACGTTGACGAATACATTTCTCCCTATCCAGTGGGGTTGCTCTTGCCTCATTGGGAAGTTTCCAGACACGAAGGAAAAAACGTCTAAATTGTTTGGCGGTTAAGATTCAGTTCCTTGAAAAACATTTCTGTATATCTATCCTTCCCACGCTCCTTCAGCCAATCAAAATCGACTTCCTTTGTTTTGTCTTGTATTTGATCTCAAAGGTCAAACTCAGTAATTCCAAGCAGGGATACACTTCTCTAAAAAGAATATTTTTATACTAAACTATTATTTAACATGCTGTTTTTTTCTCGCTCCTTAATAATATTTAGCTTTTTTTCTTATTCTGTCACACTCAGTAACATTGCATCTTTGTATCTTTCCCGCCTTGCATGCGGTTAGATGAATAAAAATTCAAAACAAAAAAGAAATATTCCAAAAGAATTTACTAAGAAAATGCCTTCCTGTTTTCTATCCCGGGCTAGGGTACCCAGGATCAGATGGGGAGCTATGCTGATAATATACAAAATACGGCTGGTAAATTGTCACCATTTTATATTTTTAATTTCGCACATGCGCGTTGTTTGTTTTTGACTTTATCGATTGCACATTACAGTACTTTCCGTTGGGCACCGTCTGTGAGAAAAAGAACAACATGACGCAATTGACTCTTCCAGAAATCTTGAAACATCATGATTCACTGCTTGGCATTAGCGTCGAAAGCTTCAATTGGGTGTCGATCTGAGAAGAATGCAAAGATTTCGAAAAGAGCTGGATGAGTCTAATGGTGATTCCGAACATACGGCAGCTCAGAAAACTCACTCTTATCGTTCTGATAAGAAAAGAACTCCCGAATGTGTTGGTCAGAGTCTCAGACTCAACATGGATGATTACGTCAAGTGCCTTGAAAAGTAGTACTGCCTGGTTTAAGAGGGTGGTTGCTGGAAGACCCTATGTCTGCCAACAGGACTCTGCACCATGCCATACAAGGAGCAGCATCCACATGGCTGTAAGGCAATTACTGCGACGACATCAGCTCTTATATCTGGTCATCTAACTCCTCAGATTTCAGCCCGCTTGATTATTATGTATGAGGCGTAGTCTCGCTCGAGACCAATAAAATTCCTTGGGAGACTATTGATGAACTGAAGGCAAGGTTTATGGCAGCATTCACCAACTTAAACAAGGAGGCCGCCCAGAAGAGTTGTAGTAGATTCCAAAGTCGTTTTGAGGCCGTGGTTGAAGCCAATGGCGATTTTACTGAATAAATTTTATCTTTAGTATATTAATATATTTTTGTTTAATTTTGGTAAATATATCTTTTAAAATGAGATGTCGGTGTTATTCCCATTTTCGTGCAATTTAGACGACAATGTAGCCATCCCAACTCTATATATTCCTAGTTGCTGTAAGAGTGATCTAAAAATAAAATCAAGATTCTTTGTTTAGTGTTCCAAGAAGTAAGATTTACGATAAAACTTTCCAAACAGAAATTATGATCTGGAATTGAAATAAAAGACGCGATGACACATATGTTAAATTTAGTATAAGAGTACCGAATGTGTAATTAATAAAATTTAAACACTGAAAATTCCTCGGATTATGGATCAGTTATTATATTTTTAATATAGAAGATAAGGAAATTGAACAGAGAATAATTTACGCTAGAGGTATTTTTTTTCAACATCCAAGAATGCAGCAAAAGCACAATATTAACATCAGAACTCGAGTCTTGTAATTAAATAACCTCGTCAGATCTGGATTCTTATATAGCTGTGATCCATGGAATCCAATTTGTTCAGAAATCTCTAACCTAAGAACTGTATGGCTGTAAAGGAACGAATACATTAGGCCTTAAAAAGTCAATCCATCATCAGATATTATAGACTGGCGCTACGGTATCCAAAATAAATTAACCAAAAACAAAAACATAAAAACATTCTTTTATGTGCCGTGTTCTTTCAGGATGTAGACAATCATGGCTCTCCACTTTTCCCTATTACTTGTAGTTCTCGATATGCTTTGTGCTTTTGCTACAACTCCCAGGCTCTGTCCTGTCATCCACTTGCTTAAGCCCGTATGTCACGCGTTGCTTTTCTTTGTCTCCCTTTCCCCTTTATCCGCCCTGTGAATATCAGATAATCCAAGCCCTCTTTTCTCGTTACATGTTCCAGAAATTCAAGCTGCCTCTTGCTGATGTTAAATATAAGCTGCCTCTTTGCTTACATCCTCTCCAACACTTCATCATTGTTCGGTCGATGTTATTCTTAGCATCCTTCTTTAGAACTATACCTCTTTTGCTACGTGTCTCTTTGAGGAGATCGTCCAACAATCGCTGCGGTAAAGCAGTTCAACACTCTTTTTTTTATTACCAAAGAGATCCTCCTGTCTCGTAATACTTGGCCTAGCTTTCGGAATGCGTCTTTGACCTTCCCAATACATCTTCGGCTCTCAGCTTGGTACATACTCTCCTCCGTCAGAACACTTCCTATATATTTAAATTTCAACACCTGCTTGATTTTAGTATCCGCATTTTCATCGCATCCTTTTTACAGAAGACCAAGCATTCTGTTGTCTTATAGCTTATGCATAATCCCTTCTTCTTGCTCTACTATGCTACCTACTGTAGAAGGTTTTGTAATTTCCTTTTCGTGTCTACTATCAGCACTGTGTCATCTGCGTAACTTAGGTTTGTGACTGCCAATGATAAATACTGGTGGGATTTCCAATTCTCTAAGAATTGCCTCGCTGTATAGGCTGAATAAATCCGGTGAGAAGGTATATCCTTGCCTTACGCACCTTTCTTTTTTATATATCTGCTGAACAAATTTTCCATCATTTTATTCAAGATGATCTTCGCACTCTCTAACCTTGTTAATTTCTGTCCTGTGTATCTTACAGGTTTCACGTACGATTTCATTTTCAATATTTTCCAATACTCTTTGGACTGTCATAGCTGAAACTCGTCTCTAACATGCCAAAAGTTTATGGATTGAGTTGGATCCATTCTAATTGATCTCTTTAGCTCTAAGTTGATATGATGATTCCACTTCATGTTGTGATCTCCTGATCCAGATTTGATGGTTCTTGAATGGATTTTGAAGATGGAAGCCAGAGTATGAATGTTGGTACAATTACTGAACGCCTTTTTCCTCTTATTATTGCTCAGTTGAGAAGAGAGTCGGTCTGACGCAAAACAATTTTAACCTCCTCACTTTTTAGCTGAGTAATTCAAAGTGTTTTTCAGTGATTCTTTCAACAAATGGCGTTAAGACAGCTAAACGTCTAAACTGAAAACCTGGCAAAAAGGAACTCAATTAGTTTAATGTTTTTTGGTTTAATATTAAACATTTTGTGGGATGTATAATTATGCTGTAACACGATTTAGGCAACTTTGCTGTTATACTCGGTACATATATATATATATATATATATATATATATATATATATATATATATATATATTAATTTAAAATATAGTTTTTTCCGCTACACAGTTCTAACCATGTTTCAAAAACATTTTTGAAACATGGTTAGAACTGTGTAGCGGAAAAATATATTTTTAAATCAATTAATTTATAATATTAATGCTCTGTAAATTTACATCGAGCACTATTTTGTAAAAATAAAAATACCTATAAGAACACTGGATTATATATCTTACTGTTCTTTATATATATATATATATATATATATATATATATATATATATATATATACGCTTCACGACGCTTGACTCTACATTGGAATGAAAACTCTAACATTTTTAGGCATTTAAAACAACATGGCTGCCCGCACTCACAATTCCGTAAAATACTTGTCGAAAACACAACTATACTTCGACATGAAAACAATAGACAAAAACTAAAAATACTTGAAGCATTATACATCAAACCCAACCTAAACAAAATCAATTATGGCATCTCTACAAATATTCTACAAAATGTCTATAATTGGTAATAGAAGTCATTGGTTTATACCAACGGCTTGGCATACTTCATTCTCCAATTCACTCTCGTGTAGTCATATGTGACGTCATGAGATGCGGTGCGATTTTCGCTTCTAGCGTCTTATATGCGCGTGTTTATCGTTGCTTAGAAATCATCTATGTAAACATTGACAGACTATCATCACTGTCTTGTCCGTATATTGTTTAATATGTTGTAAGTGACATCTTTGATAATGGCTTATGTAAGCCGAAAGCTTAGATTGTATTAAAAAAATATAGATCAATATTGTGTATTTCTTTCTTCGTTCAACGATAATGTTATTAAACTTTTCTGACGTTACGAAAAATTTTTACATAAAATGAATAGACAACACTTGTCTATATTATTTAATGAAACGTGTATGAATGAAAAGATGCTCCCTAAATATATATATATATATATATATATATATATATATATATTTTTTTACCTACTATAGTCTTACACAGACAGCATCTTAAAAAATAAAATAAAAATGCAGACAAATAGAAGATGTGTGAACGCGTGTACATACGTACATACGTGTGTGCGAGAAAAACATTTTTCAGTGAACAAAATAGACGAACGATCTGCGCGTTGACACGGCAACTGACGAAAGATGTTCGCTACACAATCCGACATTGAACACAGCGACCAATTGCCTACGAACGTAAGCAACGACACATGAATGCACACTGTTCATATATGTTTATATTTCTGTGTGCTTCAATGAGTGTGCGTGCGTGTATGTATGTCTGCGTACGTCAATGAGTGAACGTGTCTGTATGTATGTTTGCGTACGTATGAATGGCGATCCGACGGCAAATGTTCCACCAACTAACATGAAAAACACCGATATACGCAACGAGATAAAAATTAAAAATTTAAAAATTAATCAGTTTGTCTGACGATCGCAAATAGCGTGAAAATTAGGGTCACAAACTCACATCACTCCGCCTAAATATCTATCTATATATCTATCTATTTATCTCTCTCTCCTCTCTCTCTCTCTCTCTCTCTCTATCCCTCTCTCTCTCTCCCTCTCTCTCTCTCTCTCTCTCTATATATATATATATATATATATATATATAGATTAGTTGCAAAAATAATGACGTAAAATGTCGTTCTTTGACGTTAAAAATACGTCAAAAAACGACATTATTACGTCATTATTTTTGCACTAACCAATATATATATATATATATATATATATATATATATATATATATATATATATATATATGAGAAATTTATTTCGGTTAGCTCTCTGGGGAGGAAAGTGTGAGTTTGAAAAAGTGACTATTACTGCTAATAATGCAAGACTCTCAGTCACAGAGTGTTTATCTAAAAAAAATACGCTTAAATTGATCTTCATCCCTACCGTGCGCTAAAGGCTTGTAGGTAGAATCACCAACTGAGGCCAAATCAGTCGGGTTTCGATCTTAGCTAGAGGCAACCGGTCGTCGAGCTACACTGATGAGATGGAATACAGTGAATATATATATATATATATATATTTATATATATATATATATATTGTAGACAAACTGAGAAAGACTAGAGAATTAGAAGTAACTTAGAAAACAAAATTTTTCAAAGCAGTATATATATATATATATATATATATGTGGCACCATGCATAAGTTGGTAGGCTGAGAGGAAATATTCATAAATATATGATTTGTTTTTTACGGTTTATCACCCATTTAATAATTATTTAGGGCCAAAAAAAAAAAATACTCCGGGTTTTAAGAATAATTCTTTCTTTACGTTCAAGCGATCTGGGCGAAAGAAAGAAAAGAAGAAGAAAAAAGAAAATTATAATACGAAAACCCGGTCATAAGCGAATAAACACACGCTCGATTGATACATAACAGATGTTGGTCAAGCACCTGACCTACTTCCGTGTCCACGAAAAATGGGAGTTTGTTATCAATTTGGTTGAAGAAATAAAGTTTAGAGACAATGGAAAAAAATATGATAGGTAACAGGTGGGGAGTTTATCTAAGGATATACAGGCAAACCATTAATACGAAAACCCAGACAATCCCAGAATTGAAAATGGAGCCACACAAGGTGATGTTAGAGAATGCTTTTTTTTGAGATAATTAAGATTTTTGTTATCAAGCTCCGAGCGAAAGAAAAAAGTGAAATATTTTTATTAGTTCACGAAAACGCCACCCAGTCTGGGAAATCCCTTTCTTAGATCGTATCCAATTAGCGATAAACTGTTTGACAAATACCGCGTGTAAAAAAAATAGAGAGCGTCATTTCGGTCACGTACGAAAAGGGCAATTTAAATTTTTTGTTTTTTAAGCAAGGTGTTTCTTCCCCCCAGAACAAAGCCACGGATTGTCCACGCCCGATTAAAGACGTCACGAAGGAAGGAGGAAAGATACCGACCAGAGCCTCATTGGCCGAAGGCGGTCACATGATACATAAAGGAGGAGGAAAGACACCCGACCAGGACCCCATTGGAGCGGGGAAGCGGGTATACGCCCCCAGAGGCACAATAAGGGAGTAGGAGTGAAAGTAAGTTACCGAAAATGGAAAATCCCTAATCAGAAATAAGAAGAGTGGATACGTATTTAGAATTATCAAGAAAACCCCTGGCGCCGACAGACCCACCCCAGTTTTGACTGCATCAATAAAAGCGAGACGCCAACCGACAGAAATCAGAGTTGCGCCGCGGACGGCGAGGGAGTTTGAGCTCGGACGGCGGGCCCGGTTCATTCGCCCCTTTGCGGGCAAGAAAGGCCGGTCCGTTTGTCCTAAGAAGAGAAGTTCGTCCAACCCAAGCCGAAGTGAATAAGCTCGTCCAACCGAAGCCGAAGAGAAGAGTTGCAGCCACGGACGGCGAGAGAGATCATCCGTGAACGACAGGTAGAGATCAGCGCCCAGTGTTGAAACCAAACCACACCCCGAAATGCAAATTTCTAGAGAGCAGGCAACTCGAAGACTTAAAGTTGCCTGGTAGAAGCGTGGTGCCACAGAACGGGTCGGGAGGTAGGAATAATCTTTTGTAACGAGCAATTAGATATAAAAAGTTGTTACCTTTTTCTTCAATATTTTTGACCTTGTGAGTTTTTATTTTTCTTGTGTGTTATCACCCCCGTTGGACTCAGCTTGCATACGGCCCAATCCCTGTTTGATCCCGTCTGTCTAAGGTCTAATCACAACGTGGGTAGGCAGACCGGAGATCAGTGCTGTTACCCTGGTAACCAGGCGTTGGAAGCGGGTTGGGAACGACGAGGCTGGTATTCATCTAACCAAAGGGGTTAGAACGTCACACTTGGAGCAGCGAGGAGCGAACAGCTGGCGCCGCAAACGGGATCGAACGACACAGTCGACGCTGCGACCAGGGGCACGACGTCACACACACACACACACACACACATATATATATATATATATATATATATATATATATATATATATATATATATATATCGATAAACGTGCAATCAATTTACAAATTCATGAATTAAATTTCACACAAAACAAATGCAAAAAGTTAATGATTTAATTGACGAAATTTTCATTCATAAACAATTCGGAGGTTTTGTAAAATTATTTGAATTGTTTGCGACGGTTTTCTGCCAATTAAATCATTAACCTTGCATTTGTTTTTGTGTGAATAATTCATGAATATATATATATATATATATATATATATATATATATATATATATATATATATATATATATATATATATATATATATATATATATATATACAGACACACAGACACACAGACACACACACACACATATATATATATATATATATATATATATATATATATATATATATATTCTACGGAGTGACACGCGCCCTCTGATGTCGATTTTACAGGCAAACATAAACAATTTAGAAATCGAACCATTTGGTTTGTATCGATTTGTATTGATCCATTGATCAAACTTCTGAAGATTCAGACGAATCAATATTTGCAAACGTTTCAAAGTCGATTCAAAGTCGATTCAAATTCGATACATCATTTATTCTCTTATTCTCATATTCACTTATTCTCATTCTCTCTTAATCTATCTATCTATCTATCTATCTCTTTATTTTTGTTTTTTAGTTATTTTTTCTAGCATCCTTACTTTATCTGTTTAGCTGGAGTAATGGTGTGTAAACGTTGTCCGTTGTGTATATTGTTCCAAACAATTTCGGCAACTTCTTTTGCCTTTTTCAAAGGTTTTATATATATATATATATATATATATATATATATATATATATATATATATACATATATATATATATATATATATATATATATATATATATATATATATATATATATAGTAAATATTCATGTATGCTCCTCATATTATATAGAAGCGAAGACAAAGATATTCGTTGTATATTTTTATGTTATGTTTTTTTTATTTATTTCATGTGTCATTTTAATCTTTTGGTAAATAACTAAATTATCGCCTGCTCTTTCAACCTTTTTCATTAATTAGTATTGAGTAGTGCTATTTGATATTGAATATATTTTTTGGGTCTGGGAACACTATTCACCATCAAGAACTGAAATGTCTATAGGTGAAACGGAAAACATTCTGATTTCTCAAAAAACTTAACTGTGCTGTCAACTAAATAAAATAAATAAGAAAATATGCAAAGAAAATCATTGCCAATATTTTTATGTAATAGAAGATTATATATATATATATATAAATATATATATATATATATATATATATATATATATATATATAGGTATAAAAATGAAAATGTTTGAAAATTATGTACAAAAACTTCTCTACTTTTTTGAAAAGCTAACAGCAAAACTGGCTAAAGTACAAAAAAAAAAATTTGAAACTCACGTGTAAATAACATATTTTTTTTTATTTTAATATTTACCTGTAAAATATACGCATCATTAATATTATATAAAATAAATATAAATATTAGTTGTTTTTTTCAAAATTTCTCTCTCTGTTTCTGTCTCTGTCTGTCTCTCACACGTTCTTTCTCCTTCTCTCTGATATATATATATATATATATATATATATATATGTGTGTGTGCGCGCACGTGTGTGCAGCTCGGAATGTGTAATCGGAGAACAAATTTCGAATTCCAGTCGGCTTCGTTACATTCAATTCGGCGTAAAAACCTTGGGAAAGGTTTGATTCCATCTCGTCTTCCGCTGGCTATTACAAGGCCGATGATTGTGCTTTTTAACCTTGTTTAGTAACCAGTCTAGGAGAACAACAACTTTCATTGAGGCACAAACTGTTTACCGGGTCTCTCTATTCGAGTCAGAAAGTGTGATTGGTTCTGTACATGCTCTCACATATGATGGAATCATATATGCGGGTTGTTCGGTTCTAAGAAATGATGAACCCTCATATGCTAAAAAGAACGTGAGGATCCGTAAAATACATATATATTAGAAATTATGGAGTATTTGTGTAATTCATCGAGTCTAGAAGAAACCTCAACAGAATGCAGAAATCACTGGACGGCCGTTTCTTCCTATATTTAGGACTCATCAGCAGTGCGCATCCACTACCGATAATTGAAACCCGGATAGTTACATTGACAAGTAAACGTCATACGAACTGTACTAACAAGCATCGGTGACGAAGAGGCAGCAGTTGCTTGAACCGGCTTTTAATGCTC